AGGCCAGCTCAGTGGACACTGCCCAGTTTGAGGACAGGTAAGGGGTTAGAGGGTGGTCTCAGGCCAGCTCAGTGGACACTGCCCAGTTTGAGGACAGGTAAGGGGTTAGAGGGTGGTCTCAGGCCAGCTCAGTGGACACTGGCCAGTTTGAGGACAGGTAAGGGGTAAGAGGGTGGTCTCAGGCCAGCTCAGTGGACACTGGCCAGTTTGAGGACAGGTAAGGGGTTAGAGGGTGGTCTCCGGCCAGCTCAGTGGACACTGCCCAGTTTGAAGATAGGTGAGGGGGGAGAAGGATTTCAGCACAATCAGCTTGAAGAAAATCAAAACTTTTAGAGCAAACTTTTTTATTGCAAAATTCTGTCTCCCTGCACAAATGACCAAAGTGAGAAAAGTTTTCATTTAAAAGAAAACATGCCAACAATGAATTATCCTATTATGATTTCATGAACGGTTATAACTACCAAATGAAACAATTGAAATGTAATGTATGATAATATTACATTTACCTGGGGGTCCAATAATTGAAGTTATTTCACTAATCAGTCAATATATTTTTAATTGCAAAGTATTGTATACATTGCAACAAGTGTATTACTCGATATGTTTACAAGTGTTATTAAACAGTTCACAACATTTTATCTGTTTTTTGGTTTTACTGATTTAAAGTCATTTGAACCATTTATCAGGAGACAATATGAAATATAGAAAACCTTGTACAGGAGTAAGAGGTCCTCAACATTCTAGTAATATAGTAAGAATATTGGAGGGATATACCTAGCATATACATGATATATGTAAATGCATTATGAAAAAAGTATATAAAATGTGTTGATAAAGGAATAATGGAAATGCAGATCAAGTATTGCTGTGTGTAGAATTGATTTGTTCAGCTCAGCAGAAAGCCTGTCCAATCCTGGTCTCAGCTCCACTGACATCATAGTCATCACTTTTCTAGTTGCCACCACTTTGGCAACTGAGTAATTAGAGTTTTGGGTTTATATATCAGCAAGTAGACTGCTGTATGGTAAGTTAAGACTTTGTATAATTGTGCATAGAAAGACAGCATGTGGAAAAGTAAGTTATTGCCCAGGATGTATACCATCCAGTTACTGCAACAGCTCCAAGTATTCTGGTGTATTCTGTGTTTGAGGAACAGTGGCGTTCACATCATCACAGTAGCTATAATTGTTCTGATACACAGGGTGATCAGGTGGATGCATTACCTCATACTGAGCCTCTCCTGTCTCGTTATTAACTGGTGTAGGAGGCAGGGTACGGAGCTGTGTATAGATGTGCTGGTGAGAAGCATCATGGGAGACTGGTGGCTCGTATCCAGCTTCACCCCCTAAATGCTCTGTTCCATTGGCCATGGAAATTGGCATGCTCATCTGGTGACCTTCACCTTTGAGTGGGTCATGTCCTTGACCACCTATACCCATTTGGCCTTGACCTATATTAGTCATGGTGTGCTGTTTGTGTCTTATCCAGCAAATGACTACAACTGCCACAATAACGGCAATGATCACAATGCCGATCACCACCACAATGGCAACTATTACCACTGTGTTGTCTTGATTTTCCATTGTTGAATTTTTGTCTTTTGCCACTGTAACAGCTGTTGTAGTTGTAGTTGTTTGATTCCTTGTGGCTGCAGGTTTAGATGAGTAGCCACAGTTAGGGGGAGTGCCACACTGAAGACTTTCAGGTAGAACCCTGTTATCTTTCCCCTGGCTGCAGTAGACTGGGGTAGACACTGAAATCTGGAGCTTTACTCCTCTGTCTATCATCCACTTGAGATCACAGGTACATGATAACTGATTGCCGTCCATTTTCACATGCTGTAAATTAGGAAAACCAGCAACAGTACAAATGTTGAGGGTATATATATTGTTATATCTGAGGTCCAGGACACGGAAGATGTTAGGAAGACCCAGAAGTGCGTTGGTTGGAAGAGAGGTCAGCTGGTTGTTTTGGAGTTTCAGCTCCTCCAGGCTCTCCATGTAGCCCTGAAATGTCATCGCAGGGAACGTGTTGATTTTGTTGAAGGATAGGTGGAGCTCTGACAGAGCAGCTAGATAACGCACTGCTTCTCCAGGGACTGTAGTCAGATGGTTATAGTCCAGGAACAGGTAATCCAACTTGTACTTCAAGACAAAGAAAGCATTTCTGTGGATGTAGCTGATCTGGTTGTGTGTCAGAGACAAGCGGACTATCCGCTGTGCTGTAGTCAGTTCTTGAAAAGCACCATCTTGTATGGAAGTGATGTTATTGTGAGAAAAGTCGATGAGTTCGTATGTGAGGGACGCTGGGTTTCCTGAGCTAGGAGGGATGGCTTGAAGTTGCCTGAGAGTGCAGTTGACCGTGTATTTCGGCTCGACTTGCTTTGCCTGCTCGTTTGACGTGCTAGATGATGAGCAGCTGCAGGTACCAGACCATGGGCATGGTGCTTCAGTTTGGGTTGTCATGGCAACAATTAATAATATCTTCACATAAACTAACATATTTTGTGTTGGTCAATGTGTGCTTGATATGAACACGTTTAAATACATCAGCTGGAATTACCTGAAATGGGTGAAAAGTAAGTTAAACAAACCTTTTACAAATCAGCATAATTGTAAATTAGAAAGCCAAATAATGGCCATGCTATCATTCAGCAAAAATTAAATAGAAGTATCTTACCAAAAGGTTAATTTTGAAGTCACATTCCTGTATTTCAAAAATTGTGCTAATTTAGATAAGATTTTGACCAAGTAATGTTACCTGTTACACCAGTTGGTCAGTATACAGAGACAGCAGACCTGCATGAATGAACTTTTTCCCTCCAAAGTGAGACTCTGTTTTGTTTCATATAAATAGTATTTTTCAGTAAATGTTATTATGGTAGTGACTCGATCTTTTCAATGAGGAAAAACTAACAATTTTTCATATACATAATTTTAAAATCATTAAAAATATATTTCTTTGTAGCATCTGTAGTGCTTTTTCTGTATACAATAGAACTATAAGGTAGCCTGTTTATCAGTTTTGTTGCTAACTTTAAGAATTTTTGACTTCAAAAAATACAATATCTGTAAAATTCATAATTTTCCCCATTGAAAAGATCTAAGTCATTACTGTAGCTGTTGGCATGGTGGTCAAGCAGCCTACTATGAAGGCAGGTTAAAAGTAGTGTGCTGTAAAGTTTTTATTTAGCCATTCATCAACAAACCAGTAAATCAGTGAAGTATATAAGGTGTATCACTTACACCAGCTCATGCTATGGTCTGAGGTGGACGGTCAATACACTCCTCTCAGCCTCTTGCTCTTCTTAAAGCTACTCTTTAAACTCCTGTGCTGAAGATAGCAGTAGGTACACTATGGACTAAGTCTTACAGTGCAGTGAACATTGGGGTCATCTGTAATTTATGGCTTGTATCCTGGTTAAGTATGACTATCACCATCTCTCTGCTCTGCAGGATGTGCTGTGACTCAGACCAAAGAAATCTAGGTTACCACAATCATTATAACCAACAAAGGCTAAGACCATGGAACTACTGTTATGCATTTAAGGTCATTATATCTTCAGGCTTGTGTATTGTATTGCAAGATGTTATTTTGTATAATGGTTTTTAAAAATAATTTTTGATGTTTTTTTTGCACTGACTATGATGTCAATTTGTGTCTTTCACATGCTTTAATGTAGCTGTAACAGTCATTTTTTATAGTCTGCAAAATTTTTTTTTCAGTGTCAGAAGTTTCTTGAAAAAAAAAAAAAAAGAAAGAAAACTATCACTGTGTCTCTCTTGGTAGTTACCATGACTTATGACGTATATCTGGCACTATCTGGCATTCTATTAATGCCAAACCGTACATGTAAAGTTGTTTTACTTTAGATTTTCTTAAAGACTGATATTCAAAAATTTAAAAGACTAAATCCTTTAAAAATAAGAAAAAATCAGCATGATCAGATTATTTTTATGAATTTTTTTTTAACTTTTGGACATTTTAAAATACAGACAGGGTCAGTGTTGATTAAGGCAGGGTGCCTCATCTGGTGATAAAGGAACCTTCATGTATATTAAGCAGTACTTCAAGTGTATTCTACTGGTTACAGTGCTTATCAGTGTTCATCAGATGTCACTATATGAATTATTAAGCTCATGATTGTAATCTCTATTCATGTACTGCTATGAGGGGGTTACCTTTGTGTCACTTGTGGCTTAGATTGGCTGGACTCAGCTGTAACAGATTGTCCTATGCACAGGCGCAAAGCACTGTTATGCTGATGCCTATCAAGATTTTCAGTTGGTGATTTAACCAGTTTAAGTGTCATAAAAATTTTACCATGAAATTTTAGCTGTTTTTCATATCACCATTTCTTAAAGCTTAAATGTAGGTTTGCATATCATTTCTTTACATCTGGTATAGGTCTCTTTGCTGCCAATGGAGAGAAAAATGTTCTAGTGAAGGTTGAAATTATTACAACCCATCAAAGCAGTTTATTTTTGTAATTTATGAAATATAAAGGTCACTTTTTTAGATATCATTAAATATACATGAATAAATTTGTTCTTTTGTTTTCCCTTTTCACATGTGATTTTAAAAATCATAATTACATTGTTATTTCTAGATCCAGAGTTCAGTTTATGTTGGATGTGCTCCTTGCCATTAAGAACAACAACATGAGAAACATTCCCAACTATGACCCCAGTCACATGGAGCATATGAAGAAATTACTTAGGAATTATGTGAGAGGTAGGTCAGGTTTAAACTAAATGCTAAATTATGCCATTAAAAATATAAGCACTTAACACAAACTGCATACACTATTGACAGTAGATGATATGGTCCATGTATTTATGCCTATCCCATGTGTTAACTGCAGCTCCTATCCCATGTGTTAACCCCAGCTCCTATCCCATGTGTTAACCCCAGCTCCTATCCCATGTGCTAATTCCAGCTCCTATCCCATCAGTTAAGTCCAGCTCCTATCCTATGCTTAACTACAGCTCCTATCCCATGCATTAAGTCCAGCTCCTAGCCCATGTGTAAAGTTTGACTCCTATCCCATGTGTTATGTTTGGCTCCTATGCCATGTGTTAACTCCAGATCCTATCCCATGTGTTATGTTTGGTTCCTATCCCATGTGTTAAATCCAGCTCCTGTCATACATGCTATGTTTGGCTCCTAATCCATGCTGTCTTCTCCAGGCACAGCAGACACCCAGCTCAGGATATCTCTACAGGATCTGCTGGATGCTGAGGAACACGGACGATGGTGGATTGTAGGCTCAGCTTGGAGTGGGAAGCAGATGGAACAGCAAGAAGCTGGTGAGTACAGAGGGAGGGCAGTGGAATGGCAGTTGTAATGTTGTTTCAGTTGTAATGAGACAGTGAGACAATGATAATAATGAACACATTGATAAATTGATTAATCACATTCATTGGTATATAAGAGATACATAATAGTAACTAGATTTCTTCCATATACATTTGAATAAAATTTGAAATTTAAAACTTGAAACCGTTAATGAGAAGGTCCTGGAGACAATTTTTACTAGTGGGGAGAGATGTTAATAGATTGGAAGGGTTAGACTTTATAAAAAGCTTTTTCTCTCTCTCTTTTTCTTTCTCCACTAAATTATGTTGAACAAGGTTCATATGTGATAAAATTGGAAATTAAAAAAATAAAATAAAACAGCATAATAAAAATTTCAAATTGAAATTTAATGATAATCAAATGAAATAAGGTATTATTTACACACACACACACACACACTATAAATAACAAGGAAATATATAGGATTTTTGTAAAGAGAAATTATTACGTTGTTTGATGATTTGCTTGTAAATGGCTTCAGTGGAATTGTTTTGTAGCTCCAACAAAAATGGATTCCAGCGTTCTAAGTGATGTCAGCAGTCATATTCTAGAGCTGGCTAGAAAACAAAGAATGAATACAGATGTGAGGAAAAACATCTTCTGTATTATCATGACAAGTGAGGTAAGGTTCTTTTCACTCATGGGATTAAATAACTAATATAACAGATAGGAAGCTAACCAGGTTTGGGGAGGGGGGGGAGAGGGGGGCTGTATGGTCTCTAAGCATTTGGAGTCTGCCAGTGCCTCTAACTTTTACTGAACCACATGCAGCCATATGCCTTTACAAGATAATAATGATGAAGGTAATGATAATAATGATAAAAGATAAACATTTTGTATTTGTTATTATCTGTTAATTTATATTTGATAATGTATATACTTTTGAAATTTATTTTATAATTGCAGGATTTTGTTGATGCATTTGAGAAGCTCCTTCAGTTAGGACTGAAGCACCAGCAAGAGCGTGAGATTATCCATGTGATTCTGGACTGCTGTGTGCAGGAGAGAGTCCACAATGCCTTCTACTCCTACCTGCTGCAGAAGTTCTGTGAATATGACAGGAGATTTGAGGTAAGCAGTGTTTTTTTGTGAATATGACAGGAGATTTGAGGTAAGCATTGACAACACTTTCTACTCCTATCTGCTGCAGAATTTCTGTGAATATGACAGGAGAGTGATTCACCATTTTAGCTGTTGTATTTACTTATTATATCTGTACATTTTTTATCAGATTCATCTGATGTAAATATTACTGGGTAAATTATAATTATAAATAATTATTTTTTTATTTATAATTACAACATGAAGTAATTTATCCAGTTTTTTTGACAAATTTGATTTGCAATTCAAATCTTATTACGACAGACCTCATAACCAAAGTCATATAGCTGTGTGGTGGCATATTTCAGATGACCCTGCAGTTCAGTTTATGGGACAAGTTCAAGACAATGTCAAGTGTCACCCAGACAGCAGCTACCAACCTGGCAGCCATGATTGCTCATCTCCTGGCAACCAAAGCCTTGTCCTTGTCTATATTCAAGGTAGGGTCTTTACATTATTTGGTATGATTATAATTGACTATTTCATTTATTTTTCCATTCATTTATTTTCATTTCTTCATTTTTATGACATTTGGGGAGAGGGGTTTCACTTTGGCATTCTGTTGCTGTTGATTCAGCAAATAGATAATTCCTCTCAAAATCAGGGATGAGTTGGTAGAAAATAATAAAAAGATGATAAATATAACAGATGTATTGTATGAATCCCTGTCTATGCCAGTGCTGTCAATTGTTGTTCACCTTATCACTGCTAATCGGTGCTCTTTGTTTTAATGAAAATGTACCAATATGTGTTGTTTAGGAAAATGCTGTTTTTTTTAGAAAATCCACTAATGAGATTATTTTTTGTGAAAGTTATTGCATTTTTTGTTTTTCTTACGTGTATTTTGGAGTCATTCACTCCATTGGTGAGAAAAGGTGTTTTTGATTTGCTACAAATTTGCTAACAAGCTTTAATTGATAAAATTGGATTATTTTTTATAAAAGTTACTCTTTTGCCTTTTTATGAATCATATATTCGGTGGCTTCCCACCCATTAGTGCCAGGCGATATAATAATTTTAATTGAACATCAGATTTAATAGAGCTGAAAATGTACCATAACGTAGGATTTAGATAGAGAACTTGTGAAGTTAGGTTGGAAGGAAGCAGTTACATGTTGGAAGGTAGAGGCAGTTCATGAGGTCAAGTGGCTGGAAACTTGGCACAGCTGTTTTTTTCAATGTTTACTGGAATTTACCTGTTCATATTAAGATGCCACAATGGGAGTAACTTTTGTCTTAGTGTCAGTATACTTGCCTGTTTTCCTGGCTAGCTTTCATTTTTGTTATGGTAGAATGCTTGTCTGTCAGTGTCATATTTAGAAAATATATTCAAAGGAAATGATTTTCAAGGGGAATGAATTGTATTCATAATATTCAAAACAAATGATATTTAAGATATTCAAAGGGGATGATAATTGTACTCAGGCATGCTGATTTTTTTCTTGATTTCTAATGACTTCAAAAAATTATATATACTTACAAATGCACCAGAATGGAGATGAATTTTAACAGCTTGAACAAGAAATTGCATTGATCCTGAAATGACCTCATAAGGTCAAAGTAAAAGTTTTTTCAGTGACGATTCTTATCAAATATAATATATATTTCAGTTTTACAATCAAGTAAGACATCACCCTGCTCAAGTAATAACAAACAGCAGAATGTTTTGTCAGTGTTTTTTAAAAAGTTTTTTTTTTTATCTGAAACATTGGAGAAGATTTCATGAAATTCACTTTCTCTCTTTCAGGTTGTGGAGTTTTCCGAGTTGGACAAAAGTATGGTCAAGTTTCTGAAAGATGTTCTTGTTGGTCTGCTGACGCTCTATGATGAAACCATTGTGAAAGAAACATTTTTACGAATTGCGCCTTTTCCTAAGCTACACATGCTTCGTGAAGGATTGAAACTGTTTTTAGATCACTTCATTCTTAGGAAAATGAATAAAGAACTTTTAAACAAGGATGACCTTGAGGTCAAGGTCAGTATTGCTAAAAGGGCACTTAGTGCTGGTGAAAGTTCATTGAAGTTGTAATTTTCAGAAGATATTTGTATTGACATTTAGACTGCAGATTTATACCTTTCAACTTAAAAAATGTTAATTACACAGACTTTTAAAACAAATGCAGAAATGCAGCATTGAAGAATGGCTTCAAAACTGCAGCTTTGGCCAGGTATTCTCCTTTCTTTAGATCATATTTATTTTAAAGTTTTATCAGCGTTGGAAGAGGCGATTAGTATACATTGAAGTAGCAGAGTAGTGTTTCTGTTGTTGACAACAGGAAAACAAAGTTAGTGAGACTTCTGAAATTAAGTGGTACAGACAATTGTATAAAGTAAACTTGAGGCTTTGTACAATAGAAGACAAAGTAAATGCTGGCTAGTTTTCATGCAGATGTGAGAAATGTGCCTTTTTTCCTGCTCAGTTCACAGTTAACATGTAGGTCTAAAATACAGCAGATCCCACTTACTATTACTTCATATCTGAAAAAAAAAGACATTTTATTTTGTTCCATTAAAAATGGCAAACCATTCTTTTGGATTTTTAATGAATTGACAGTAATTTCTTACATGAGCAGAGAGTGAGGTGAGCTGTTGGCACTGGAAGAGAGGTGCAGGGTACACGTGTTTCCTAAACTATCTGGGAGGAAACTTCATTAAATACTGTGTATACTACATGTACACCATGAAGGAGCCATGAAGCTGACGGTACTTAGCTTTGTGTTGTCATGTACCCAGTATAAGTCAACCGAGTCATCACCCGTCAAATAAACCTCATTCTTATGTGTGTTGTACTTGATATGACCAGGGAATTTATATCCGATATAATTCCCTGATATGACTCAATCGTTCATAGCATACAGTACAGAAATATTTTATTATGGAGACATTTTGTTATTGAGACCGGAATGTATTGTTGTTGTGTAGAATGATTTATTCTATTGTAATATGAATAAACATTGGCAAACAGTCTGTTTATACTTATATCATCATTACTACAAAACATGCATCATTCAACAGTAAAAAAACCACTGGTCCTCTTGCTCTGCTTTAAAAAAATGAAATTTGATAAACAACCTTTGAAGACCTAGTGCTATATTAAATGTTGATGATATAACAAACGTACATGTAGGAACCGTGTAGCTGTACTAGCACGTATAGTACCATGATCAGTAAGCAAGCACTCATTTAACCAGTACTTCCACAATCGTTGTGTGAAGTTGATCTACTGTGCGGAATAAGTATTTCTGCTGTTGACTGAATTTCACACGTTATATTTAAACCATTTCAAGGCCAAATGTCTTTGAAATACGTCATTAACAGGGTATTTCCATCTGTCTCTCAGCTAATATGTTGAACACGTAATGGAAGAGCGTGGATCTTTGTAAGTAGTTTATTCGTCTGCCCGGCAGCTCCTGTTTATAAAAGAAGTGATTCTTTCGATTTTTTAAATGTCTTTGCCACTCGTACTTTACTCTTATTGACCTTTACCTCTTTTTCAACCCTTATTTTCGCTAATCTATCTGCCACTGTGAAGAAATTTCAAGTGAACAAACTTTGTTCATAGCAAAATGTGCCACAGGCTGCTGTGTCTCGTTTATGACGCTGTCTCAACCATGATTGTGACGGCCTCCACAAATATCACTCAATTCTGTTAGTGAAGACAACGTGAGACGGGGCTGAGGGAGTAAAGATGGGTAGTGTTGAAAGCTATTTAAGTGTAAAAGTTAATGTCGTGAAAAGAACATAATCTACGCGGTATATGAAAAGAAAATGTGATAAAAACAGCCGTCGACAAAATAACCAGTAGAGTGTACTGTGTGTGAGATATATGTAGGGTGTATGAAATATTTGTATAGAAAAATTAAATTTCACTCGGATACTGATGTTCTTACAGAAATGATGTTATGTATACATGTAAGTCATGAGCGGTGATGACATGCTATTTAAACTGAGCGGTAGATAAAAAAGATATAGTGTTATAATGGACTCAAGCAAACTGTAACTGTACCTGGGTCGTGGATTGGTCGGTGCTTGGCCCGGTGGTGCTAAGTGTCAGCTAAAATTGTGTTACGGCGTGCACGCACACACACACACAAACACACACACACACACATTGAAGGCTGGTTTTGTTACATTATACTAAATGGAAAGCTAATATATTGAAAACCTAATGGAAGAGCGCAGTGCTAAATACATTTGCAAAGTGTCAGCACATGTGTAGGGAGAGTTTACCACTCCTCTAAAATTGTGTTACAACACACACACACACACACACACACACACACACACACACCGAAGGCCGGTTGTCATATTGAAAACCAAATGGAAAGCTAATATGTTGAAAACTTAATGGAAGAGTGCAGTGGCAAATGTATTTACAGTGTGCCGCTCAATTCGCGGGTTATGTGGTTAGTATGGGTGTTTGAGCTAAAAAATCTGCGGGTATAGGGTTAGTTAACGCCTAATCCGTTTATGAGGACTGACAGCTGTTGCTTTTAAACGAAGAATGAAGCGATTATTTTTAATATAATGTCTTTGCTAAATCTACTTGTACTTTACTCTTGTTGGCCCTTAACTCTCTATCATACCCCTTTTTTCGCTAATCTATCTGCCACTGTGAAGAAAATTCAAGTGAACGACCTTTGCTCATTAAAAAAAAAAAAAAAAAAATGTGCCACGGGCTTCGGTGTCTCAACCATGTTTGTGACGGACTCAACAAAAATCAGCCAATTGTGTTAGTGAAGACAACGTGAGACGGGGCTGGGTAAAGATGTCGTTAAAGTAATGAAGTAATTTGTAGTGTCAGCTAAAATTGTGTTACAGTTTGCACGCACACACACACAAACACACACGCACACTGAAGGCTGGTTTTGTTATATTGAAGACTAAATGGAAAGCTAATATAATAAAAACCTAATGGAAGGGTCAAATATGTACATCTGTACATTAAAGGCATACACTCTGTACATACACTTTTATGGGAATTAATAATTATAATAATTATGATAATAAATTTCATAGAAATCACAACACATTTTACCCAACCTAAGGTATATCCTTTCAAGAACTGCTGAAAATACCATTGCATTTCTGAACGGTGTTTGAGCGTACCGAGTAAAAAATTCAAGCTGTGTCTTCGTCATTGTGCCGTAGGTATTGTTGGGCCCTTTCCACACTTTGGTCACCTTCTTAGCAAAACCTTGGTCCGACCAGTGAAAACACCCCTTGATTTATCCGAGCGTGTTCCATTACAGCTCATTGGGTACCACAGAGGCGATGTCGAGCCGACGTTGCTCTCACCGATGCGCTCCTATGTGGACGACCTGTTCAGTGGCTGGGGCGACGAGCCCAAGGCAGAGGGGAGAGGAGACGATCAAGAAAAGAAGATGGAGGAGACTTAGGCGGAAAATGGAGTAAAAGGTGCCACGTTTTAAAGCATAAATTGAGCCACATACACATGCTCTCTCTCTCTCTCTCTCTCTCTCTCTCTCTCTCTCTCTCACACACACACACACACACACAAACACACACCCTACGGCGATACAAACATGCAAGTACACACACATACTCACACACACACACACACACACACACACACACACACACACACAGGCCTATGTAAAAGATAGTTTGTGTAATGAATATCATTGCACAAAATGCGATCAAAAGGCACCATAAAAATTAATGGGTCTCGTGGCGCTGTTTTAACAGGCTGGCGACTGCGAAAAGGCCGGACACTTGCCATCCCTTGTCCCCACTGCTTCAAAGATGGAGCTTTGACAATTTTGTAAGAGTGGGTCAACATGATTCTTCAAGCTATCGAAACCCAATGCAAAGAAAGACTTTATATATACATGTATACCAAATATTCTGAATAATCTCTGCCATCTAAGGACAATCCGACTGTGGAACATCGTGGCTGTGAGAATACTGTCGGATCAAGACAGGCGTGTATGAGAAGCTTTTTATCGCTTTAGTTTGATAACCGCACATTCATTTGAAACATAAACTTACTAAGCATGGTTTGTATATTTTGATGTTGTTTTTATTCTCAGTTGTATGTCAATGCATTTACGTCATTCAAATTCTATTAGTTTCTTTAGTAAAATATTTGTGTTATCTTAAACCACGTGGCAGGATCGAGGATTAATATCTAAACCAGCAGAGCAACAAAAAAAAAAAAAAAAAAAATGAAATCCATCAAACTTTTGATAAAGTGAATCAGATATCACGAATGATTTATTTTCAGTATGTATTTAAAAGGCGTGGATTAAATTCCACAGTCCATAGCCATTTCTTTCATTACAATTAATTGTATACGTATAAATAGGCGGTATTCAATAAAAGAATAGGTGCAATTAATACATGAATGCGCTAAAAATGATCCAAACAACCAAGACAATGGATGTTTTTAGGGATTTTATTCACTGTATGATCATCTACACGTGTGTAAGCAATATTCTGACATGTTTCAAATGTCCACTCGTCATACGATCGGAAAACTCTAATATCAATGCATTAAGCTGGAATGATAATTTGGTTACCGGAAGCGCTTGCTACAATCCCGCGTTCCAAAAGATAGATAACGACAGGTTGAAGGTCGTTTAGACCTTCCACTGCTAAAATCCCCGGATTCTGAAAGAAATGTGAGAAACGACAGTGTTAGGTATAGATGACAGGTGGCAGTATTTGTCGAATGGCAGCTACTTGTGATGCTCAGCCTTCTTGGATTCACTGAATGGCACAGTAATCAGTAATAACAACTGATGTGCAATGACACATTAATGTATTCAAATGTATGCGTGTGTGTGTGTTTTTTTGGAAGTAATACCACTCCATTCTTGGATNATTACTGTTTACGACTGATAATGAAGAAACAGAGGATCAAGTCTGTAAAAAAACGCAAATAGAACGAGCACATGTGCTGCGGCCATTTTGTCGTGTAGGGGTATTACGAAACGAAAACGAGTCTGTACATTACATCATCCAGGAATCCCCCAACCTCAGCCACTCACAAAATAGTATTTGTGAGTGAAACTGAGGTTAATAAATTATGTATAATTAGCTGGGAATTCCACGAGATTTTCACCCCGTCTCTCTTTTCGAATGAAGTAAAATATATCGTTCGGAAAAGAAACAACAACATATTCCTTATATTTACACATTCCCAGTCAGTTTGAAAACTCGCCGGACATAAGGTCCGACGATACGTGATTTTTTATCGGACCGAGACGAAATTTGCCAGGCATGTCCGACGGTCCGACGCCTTTCGTAAAGTCTGGTACTAGTACATGTACGTACCATGATCAGTAAGCACGCACTCATTTAACCAGTACTTCCACAATCGTTGTGTGAAGTTGATCTACTGTGCGGAATAAGTATTTCTGCTGTTGACTGAATTTCACACGTTATATTTAAACCATTTCAAGGCCAAATGTCTTTGAAATACGTCATTAACAGGGTATTTCCATCTGTCTCTCAGCTAATATGTTGAACACGTAATGGAAGAGCGTAGATCTTTCTAAGTAATTTATTCGTCTGCCCGGCAGCTCCTGTTTATAAAAGAAGTGATTCTTTCGATTTTTGAAATGTCTTTGCTACTCGTACTTTACTCTTATTGACCTTTACCTCTTTTTCAACCTCTTATTTTCGCTAATCTATCTGCCACTGTGAAGAAATTTCAAGTGAACAATCTTTGTTCATAACAAAATGTGCCACAGGCTGCTGTGTCTCGTTTATGACGCTGTCTCAACCATGATTGTGACGGCCTCCACAAAAATCACTCAATTCTGTTAGTGAAGACAACGTGAGACGGGGCTGGGGGAGTAAAGATGTTCTTAAAGTAAAAACTCATGGGTAGTGTTGAAAGCTATTTAAGTGTAAAAGTTAATGTCGTGAATCGAACATAATCTACGCGGTATATGAAAAGAAAATGTGATAAAAACAGCCGTCGACAAAATAACCAGTAGAGTGTACTGTGTGTGAGATATACTGGTTGTGCTCATAATTCGCGCGACAATCCGTACGCGTATACTCCATGTACGTATTAACTCTGTACTCACGCCCCCTGAGAGACAATGGGTTGTTTTGATAAACTACAAAAGCCTGTGCGGGTAGCAAACAATAGCGACGTGGACTCATACAGGGCCTAAGCGCACAGGGGGAGGAGCGCATATGTAAATTATTGTACGGGCAACCCTTGGAGACGGGAGTTCGTCCTCGCCAAGCGCGACGGGAAGTAAATTGATGCGCGCTATAATCCGACTTAATTAACAGCTTTCAACTTGGCAGTATTGCACCTTGCTCTAGGCTGAATGTCGACCTGCCGTCTCGTTGTTTTGTTTGCTTCTTACAATCAGGGGAATGGGCCTCTGCTATTTAATACATTTGAAGGATTTTTTTGTAGTTTTGGTGAATTTCTCGAGCGATCAGTCTGTGGCCCATACCAATTAACTCTTCCGAACTTGACAGAAGTCTCCCTAATTTTTGACGTATCTACCGATCTCCCTTTTGACTCGATACATCACACTTTTCTCTTTGACCTTACGTTTGGAAACTTCTCAGGTTAAGTGATAGGGGTATAGATAGCACTAAACAATAAAAAGAAAATACCAACGACAAAGCCGTGCCAGGTCTTCGTGTGAGTAACATCCAAAACACTGTACATGTATGTTGTTTTCGTGGAAACGAAGCTTGTTTCGAAAGGAACCTAAATAGCGATAATATAAAACCACAGTTGGGCAAGCTACCTGGACATTGTAATAAGTGATAGATACAATACAAGTCGCAGAGCCGAACTTGAAATATAACGAGAGTATTGTCGAGCCACAGGTTGAGTAATTTTCGGGTACAGCTCGGTGGCGAGTGTTGTATCTAGCTTAAACCACAGCCTCTCATCGGTAAGTACAATGTCCTCGCGATATATTACTGAATGCCAGCTGAGCGGTGGAAAATTAATTCCATGCAAAAATTCTTATTGGGCATTAGAAAAAATTATCAAAAATGACTTACGAGTGTGTCAATTTGCCTAACGGCAAGGGCCTAAGTGTTTGTGCAAGATCGGTCACATAACTGCAATCGCTTACTGCAACTCCTTGAATTATGAAATAGATTATTTAAAAGAAGATCTTTAACTGATACGTGTGCAAATGCTGTGGAGGAGAGTTCGCCCAAACAAATCATTAAGGGTAATTGGCATTTGATTAGCCTTTGTCGTGAACACAATAACAGCATGTATGAAGTAAGTCCAAATTAACAAAGTTTTAATTTTTTCAATTTACTTCATGTATTATAACAAGAATAATTATCAATGTTGTTTTCATGTGTACATGTACGTCCTAGGGATGGATGGTGGAAGTAAAAAGACTGTCATTCAGTATGTAGGGTGTATGAAATATTTGTATAGAAAAATTAAATTTCACTCGGATACTGATGTTCTTACAAAAATGATGTTATGTATACATGTAAGTCATGAGCGGTGATGACATGCTATTTAAACTGAGCGGTAGATAAAAAAGATATAGTGTTATAATGGACTCAAGCAAACTGTAACTGTACCTGGGTCGTGGATTGGTCGGTGCTTGGCCCAGTGGGGCTAAGTGTCAGCTAAAATTGTGTTACAACACACACACACACACACACACACCGAAGGCCGGTTTTGTTATATTGAAAACCAAATGGAAAGCTAATATGTTGAAAACTTAATGGAAGAGTGCAGTGGCAAATGTATTTACAGTGTGCCGCGGGTTATGTGGTTAGTATGGGTGTTTGAGCTAAAAAGATCTGCGGGTAGGGTTAGTTAACGCCTAATCCGTTTATGAGGACTGACAGCTGTTGCTTTTAAACGAAGAATGAAGCGATTATTTTTAATATAATGTCTTTGCTAAATCTACTTGTACTTTACTCTTATTGGCCCTTAACTCTCTTTCATACCCCTTTTTTTCGCTAATCTATCTGCCACTGTGAAGAAAATTCAAGTGAACGACCTTTGCTCATTAAAAAAAAAAAAAAAAAAAAAAAAAAAATGTGCCATGGGCTTCGGTGTCTCAACCATGATTGTGACGGACTCAACAAAAATCAGCCAATTGTGTTAGTGAAGACAACGTGAGACGGGGCTGGATAAAGATGTCGTTAAAGTAATGAAGTAATTTGTAGTGTCAGCTAAAATTGTGTTACAGTTTGCACGCACACACACACAAACACACACGCACACTGAAGGCTGGTTTTGTTATATTGAAGACTAAACGGAAAGCTAATATAATAAAAACCTAATGGAAGGGTCAAATATGTACATCTGTACATTAAAGGCATACACTCTGTACATACACTTTTATGGGAATTAATAATTATAATAATTATGATAATAATTTTCATAGAAATCACAACACATTTTACCCAACCTAAGGTATATCCTTTCAAGAACTGTTGAGAATACCATTGCATTTCTGAACGGTGTTTGAGCGTACCGAGTAAAAAATTCAAGCTGTGTCTTCGTCATTGTGCCGTAGGTATTGTTGGGCCCTTTCCACCCTTTGGTCACCTTCTTAGCAAAACCTTGGTCCGACCAGTGAAAACACCCCTTGATTTATCCGAGCGTGTTCCATTACAGCTCATTGGGTACCACAGAGGCGATGTCGAGCCGACGTTGCTCTCACCGATGCGCTCCTATGTGGACGACCTGTTCAGTGGCTGGGGCGACGAGCCCAAGGCAGAGGGGAGAGGAGACTTAGGCGGAAAATGGAGTAAAAGGTGCCACGTTTTAAAGCATAAATTGAGCCACATACACATGCTCTCTCTCTCTCTCTCTCTCTCTCTCTCTCAC